CGGCGGAGGAAGGAGCGTTGTATTCTTTTTTTGGTTTTTACTGTAGCGTGTGGTCCACGCGTTGAATGGAGCGGGGTTTGTTAACGGGAGTGGTGGCATAATAATTAGTATAGGAAGGAGTACATGGCAACTGGCAACAGAGAGATTAACGGCGTTAGTTGACTGGTCACCATTTTAAGGAGCATTACTTTTTTCCCTTCTTTGTCTTTTAGCCAGTCAATATAGAAGTTTATTTAACGTTTGAACAATAATATTTGATTAATGTTGGGAAAGAAAATATTTGCAATAACAAATACTATGAACAACTTATAGACAATTGATTATTGGTTCCTTGTCTTGTCAAAAAGAAACTTCATATCCTTGTTCAAATTTAAAATCTATAATTATTCAAAAACTTGTAAAAATACTATTTCACATAAGTGTTATCTCAATACACTTTGCAACAACAATAACGAGTCAATGACATACCAGCATATTTCCATGCAGTGTGAGATTTGGGAAGGATAAAGTTACTCAAATCTTACTCCTAACTTGTAAAAATATAAAAGTTATTTTTAATAGATCATCGACTAAAAAAAATATTATTTTAATAAAATATTAAAATATTATTATAAATGTACGTGTAAATATATCTTTTTTTTCTAAAAGAGAATATATTTATAGTTAAAGAGTAAACTTAAAATCGTCACAATTCCGAACTCAAACTTACTTACAAGTTAAATTGTAACAATATATTTTAATAATATTTGTAATAAATTATATATATGTCACTGATGGAGGAGTGACTATTATCGTCTCACCACATCCGTCGGTGAAAATTGTGGAGTATAGTAGTAGTTGAATATAGTTAATTTGGTAAATATGGTTGCATCAAGGATTTAGTGAGGGTGAGGAGGACGGTGTCTATATTCGACAACCAATTCGAGTTCATGCCGGGTCGTTCGATCACAAAATCTATCCACCTTATTAAAAGGTTGGTGGAACAATACAGGGATAGGAAGAAGGATTTGCACATGATGTTTATTAACTTGGAGAAAGCGTATGACAAGGTCCCTAGGGAGGTTCTCTAGAGATGCCTAGAGGTAAAAGGTGTGCCAGTAGCTTACATTCGAGCGATCAAAGACATGTATGACGGAGCTAAGACACGGGTTAGGACAGTGGGAGGCGACTCAGAGAATTTCCCAGTTGTTATGGGGTTACATCAAGGATCTGCGCTCAGCCCATTCTTATTTGCCCTAGCGATGGACACACTGACACGACATATTCAAGGGGTGGTTCCATGGTGTATGTTATTCGATGATGACATAGTTCTTATTGATGAGGCGCGAGACGGTGTTAACGAGAGGCTGGAGGTTTGGAGAAAAGCCCTTAAGTCTAAGGGTTTCAAGTTGAGCAGAACAATAACAGAGTACTTAGAGTGCAAGTTCAGCACCGCCGAATCGAGGGAAGTGGGCATGGATGTCAGCCTTGGATCACAGGTTATCCCCAAGAGAGGCAGTTTTAAGTACCTAGGTCGGTTATCCAGGAGGACAGGGAGATCGATGAGGACGTCACACACCGTACAGGGGTGGGTTGGATGAAATGGAGGTTAGCATCTGGAGTCCTGTGTGACAAGAAAGAGCCATTGATACTCAAAGGTAAGTTTTATAGAGCGGTGGTTAGATCGGCTATGTTGTATGGAGTAGAGTGTTGGACGGTTAAGAACTCACATATACAGAAAATGAAAGTAGCAGAGATGATAATGTTGAGGTGGATGTGTGGGAACACTAGGATAGATAAGATTAGGAATGAAGATATTCGGGAGAAGGTGGGCGTGACTCCTATAGATGACAAGATGCGGGAAGTGAGACTTAGATGGTTTGGGCATGTGCGAAGGAGAAGCCCTGATGCCCCGGTAAGAAGGTGTGAGCGGTTGGCTTTGGCGGGAACGAGAAGAGGTAGACGGCGACCTAAGAAGTATTGGGGAGAGGTGATCAGGAAGGACATGGCGTGACTTCAAATTTTCGAGGACATGGCCATTTATTAGAAGGTGTGGAGATCGAGCATTAGGGTTGTAGGTTAGGAGGTAGTTGAGCAATTTTCTACTTCATTTTGGGTGTGAGGATAGACTGATAGGGTTTGTCTTAGATTTCTAGTGGTTTATGTTCTGTTCTCACTATTCTTCCGTTTTTCTTTACTGATTATTGTATTACGTTTTAACTATTTTTTGATTTCTTATAATGCTTTATTATTTCAATGGTTTCTGTTGATGGTACTAATATATTGTCTTTTTCGTCTTTTTCGTTTTTTTGAGCCGAGGGTCTATCGGAAATAACCTCTCTATTCTATGGGGTAGGGATAAAGTCTGCGTACACACTACCCTCCCAGACCCCTTGATTCTGATATTTACTGGATTGTTTTGTTGTTTGCACCAAGGATTTGGCACAACTATCAACAAACTGAATAAAAAATATGAGACATTAGAGTTAAAACTTCAACATTAACAAGAAATGTTATATAATTTATGCGATGAAATAATGAAGAGGTGCTAAAGCTGATTAGGAACCAAATCGCGATATAGAAGAAAAGAAGAGAAGGGAGCATTTGGCAAATTCACGAAGCCAGTTTAGAGACGTCTACGAAGAACGTTGACCTGACAAGAAATCCATTGAATTTCCGAACGCCGAGTTTGAAATAATTTCGATCCGTATAGTCGCTGATTTATTCTTTATTTATTTCACAATATTAGTCGGCTAGTTAAAACAAGTGTCAATTTAGATTCCTTATAATGGACGCGTTCCATTTGTTTGTGTAATTTAGCGTAAATTCCCCCAAAGTCTTCGTCAATTTCACCATCAATCCCAATCTGTATGGCATTTAAAATACGTCTAGAACTAATATAACAAGAATATATCTTATAACCCCTCATAATGGTTAGAACATGCACATCAAAAGCAAACATAAAATTCAGGTATCACAAAATGTAAATTAGATAATGATTTAATTACGGAGATTTGAAGCACTAACCTCTCGAAATTATTGCACAAGTCATTTACAGAGCAAGAATCCAAAGTTGCAGTCTTTTGCTATGCTCCTTGTAAAATCTTGGATAAAATTATTTGAGTGGACAAATAATACAATTCTAAAGATTGAGTTATTAGGTGAAACTGGTCTTTTATTTGTAGACCTGAAATTAAGCCAAAAAACAGGCTAAAAATCGTGTAAGATTCTGGTAGTGTAGTAGAATCCTACTCTAACTCAAACAAATAACTGTTTTCCCAAGTTAGTTTTTACTCAAGTCTGTCCAGATTTCTACTAGGTATAGCAGGGACCACATAAATAATAAGAGACTACCAATTATAGTATTAATTCGAAATTTAGATGAATTAAATCCTACTATAATTAATTACAGTTTATTCCACTAAAAATTGCAATTGAACTTCGCAATATAAATTTTTAAAATCACTAACACTTCTTTTAACTCCCCATGTTATGTTTACAAATACTAGTTAATTAAACCAACTCACTGATAATTTAATTTAATCAACTAATTAAATCCTCTATAATTTCGCTTAAACTATTTCATGTGACGGATACAAAATCCACCAGTCGAATTTTTACATGAAAACATATAAGCTTACATAAAGGGGTATCATCAAACTCAAAGCCGAGCCGTAGATTCTATCAATTAGTAATTGTTATTTCACAAATGCTATTCGTTATTGTCCAATCTATTAGGCATACACTAACTCTGAATAAAGTTGTACCTTTTGATAAATCAAAATAATAAACAAATCACATTGATCATAATAACTATATCAAGATTAAGAGTATAAGCTCATTTAATGAATCATAGAAAATATTTTATATATATTCAGTAGAAAAATATTTTTTCTCTACTTGGTCCGTTCAATATATACTAGGTATACTAGCACAAGAAGTTGGAGTAAAACCACTCCCATAATCAAGATAAATTGTACTTTAATCTTATGCTACAATCATCAAGATATTTTTTCCAACAATATCTTCGATTGTGAACATAATTTATTAATTATGATTTGCGGGCTATTTATTATACATGAGTTAGGTTTATCCTATGCCCATTTCTTCTTCAAACAGTGTCATTCTAATCTCAGATTAGTTTTCTCCACTTGCTTTTTAATTAATGTACAAAAGTTACCATAACTTTAAAGTTTTTAGATTTATTTAATTACTTAAATTATAGATTTTGATATCATATTTTTCCTTGGGGGTTAAACGAAGAGCTTTTAGGATGATATGGCCTTTACAAATTGAATTTAAGTAAATGTCCCTACCTGTTTTAATATTTTTTTTCAATTATTTTATATATATATATATATATATATATTATCCTATGTGGCGATATAGAAGCCTACCTTTGCAAAGTGAAAATATAAAAGGACCCGTTTGTAAATCAAAATCAAATTATAATAGAAAAACTTCTGAAAGACAAAACCCTTCCTTCAAAGCCCTTATGTTGATTTTAACGGGAAAGGGAAAGAGTGTTGGCTTCTAAATTCTCCATTTTCTTATGTTTTCTAGTTCTTTTTTTTCTGATATGTTCTAAGATCCCCATTATTTCTTGTCATTCTATTGTTTTTTTAAAATCCCCTTTTCTTCTATCAATCAAATCACAAGAGATCGATGACGATGGAAGCTATTCCGGATGAAACTGCTTCTGGGTCAGTGTCCAATGGAGATGAGGTTGAGTCACAGGAAGGTGACGAGGAAAAATCGGATAAGGAGACTGACAATGAAGAAGCAATGGAAAATGACGATAAGGATGAGTCAGAGAAAGATAGTGCAGAGAAGGAAAGTAACGAGGAACAAACAACGGAAGATGACGATGGGGACGAGTCAGAGAAAAATAGTGCAGACGAGAAAACTGACGAAGAACAAACAACGGAAGATGACGATGGGGACGAGTCAGAGAAAAATAGTGCAGACGAGAAAACTGACGAAGAACAAACAACGGAAGATGATGATGGGGACGAGTTAGAGAAAGATAGTGTAGAGGAGAAAACTGACGAAGAACAAACAACAGAAGATGACGACGGGGACAAGTCAGAGAAAGATGGTGTGGATGAGGTGGAAGTGACGGATGAGCAAGAATTTGCTGCCTGAAACACAAATAATGTCCAACCGGGAAAAATGAGGTAACTCAATATTTTTGTTCCACTCGAATTTATCGAAGATGGGAAAAATGAAACAAAAATAATGTCGAATTTTCTGCTCGAAATACAAATATAGCTCGAGGACTCTGTATTGAATTTTGATTTCTGTTTTTCTTCTCCATTTGTATTTTACATTTGATATTAATAATATTTCTCAAATGTTTAAATGTCTTAAATTGCTAATCATTGCATTATGTTTATATATATGATCTCTTATGTTTATTCTAATATCTCTTGTGTTTAAAATTAATGATCTCTTATTTTTTGTTGTAAGATCTCTTATATAACTAGTTTAAATTTTATATATGATCTCTTATATTTATTCTAATATCTCTTGTGTTTAAAGTTAATGATATCTTATGTTTTACTGTAAGATCTCTTATATAACTAGTTTAGATCTCTTATGTTTTGCTGTAAGATCTCTTATATAACTAGTTTAGATCTCTTATGTTTTGCTGTAAGATCTCTTATATAACTAGTTTAGATCACTTATGTTTTGCTGTAAGATCTATTATATAATTAGTTTAAAAGTTTTTGTTAATTTACTGTACTAGTTAAAAGTATTGTAAAATCTCTTATATAACTAGTTTAAAGTTTATATATGATCCCTTATGTTTATTCTAATATCTCTTGTGTTTAAAGTTACTCATCTCTTATGTTTTGTTGTAAGATCTCTTATATAACTAATTTAAAGTTTTATCTAATTAACTAGTTAAACCTTTTTGCTAATATGCAATTGAATATGTAGGAAAACTTGCATGATGATCCATCTGCACCTATGAAGTTGAGATACAATCTTAAAATAGTTCGAGATGAAACTGATTATTTTTCGGGTAGAGTGATAGTTAGGTGTAGGATATTATACGTCCAGCTAGATTTAGGAGCCCCTCTTGGACAGGTGATGGACGACCAAAAAGGAAACATAGAGTAGCTAAAATGTTAAGGCAATCGTGCAAGCGTCGTCGACTGAGAAAAAGTACTATGGACGTAGTTACTCCTCCTGCTTTGCTAGATGATTCTTTTGAAGAGCAGAGGAAGTCAGATGAAGAAGATCAAGAAAATTCATGACAGTTACTTATGTTCTTTTTTGAAAATTCATGGAAGTAGAACTTACTGTGAAGATATTTTGAACTATCCAATTGTGATGATCCAAAAGGGTCATCTTATATTTTAGAACTCGAATATACGCTCTTAAGCCTTAAAAATATCATTTTTATCCTCTTCGATTTACGTGCACAGTCCGGACAGATTTTTAGAAAGCTTTTTATGTTAAAAATTGATGAAAATAAGAATTTATGCCTTAAAAAGTTAATTTTATTTGATTTCGGTCAATATTTTTAGTAAACGGGTCCGGATCCGTATTTTGATGGTCCCGGTAGGTCCGTATCTAATTATGGGACATAGGCGTATGCCCGGAATCGAATTCGGAGGTCCTTAGCTTGAGTTATGAATTTTGGATGAAAATTAAAAGTTTGAAAATTAGTTGTTTTAAAGAATTGATTGATATTTGGCATTGTTAGTACCGAATCCGTATTTTGGTTCCGGAGCTCGGTACAGGTTCATTATGATATTTAAGACTTGTTTGTAAAATTTGGTGAGAAACGAAATTGATTTGACGTGATTCGGACGTCCAGTTGAGAAAATAGAAATTTTACAAGTGTTCTTGAGAATTTCATTTGATTTGGTGCTAAATTCGTAGTTCTAGGTATTATTTTGGCTATTTGATCGTGCGAGCAACTCCGTATGATATTTTTAGACTTGTGTGCATGTTTGGTTTAGAGCCCCGAGGGCTCGGGTGAGTTTCGGATAGGCCACGGAATATTTTGAACTTAGAAAAATCTGGTATTTTTGTTGTATTTGATGTCTGCAATATTGTGCTTCGCGATCGCGAAGGGGAAACTAGGCTGGGGAGGATTTACTCTACGCGAATGCGAGACCATGGTCGCGAACGCGGAGCATTGGGGGGAGTTTCTCTGCGCGAACGCGACAGGTCGAACGCGAACGCGTAACTCTAGCTATGCTGGGCAAGGGATCTGGGGAAGCTCTACGCGAACGTGAGCCATTTCACACGAACGTGAAGGTAAGGCGGGCTAAGCCTTCGCGAACGCGTAAAGCCTCTCGCGATCGCGTAAGTCCTTAGGAGGTTACTCTTCGCGAATGCGGCAGTATTAACGCGATCGCGATGAACACTGTCACCCAGTGCATAAAGCAGAATCAAACACAGGTTTAAGCCATTTCTTCAACATTTTTCAAGAACCAAACGGGTAGAGGCGATTTTCAAGAGTCATTTTCTTTTTCAAAGTGTTGGTAAGTGCTTCTAAACTATTTTCTTTCAATTACCCATTACATTTTATGAATCATCAACCTAAAATCTAGAGTTTTCATGGTAGAATTAGGGGTTAGGGTAGAAACTAGGGATTTCAGAAATTTGGGAATTTAGACCTCAATTTGAGATCGGATTCCAATATTAATTACATATTCGGGCTCGGGGGTGAATGGGTAAAAGATTTTTGGTCCGAACCTCGGGTTTTGACCAAGCGGACCCGGGGTCGATTTTTTGACTTTTTGGAGGAAAAATTGTGAAATTTAATTTATGCAATATAATTGATTTCTTTAGCAATATTTGATATTATTGAGTCATTTTTTAATAGATACGAGTGGTTTGGAGGTGAATTCCAAAGGAAAAGGTGTGATTGAGAATTAAGTGGCCTTTGGAGCGAGGTAAGTGTTGCGTCTAACCCTGACTTGAGGGAATTAGGAACCTTCGATTACTTGCTAAGTAAAATTCATGTGAGCGGCGTATATGTGAGGTGACAAGTACTTATGCGCCGCCAATTTACTTGTTTTTCATATTTCTTTATTTTTCTTATATTGTCTCTTTCCTATGCCTAATTGCTATGTGTTATACTAGTGTTGTTCAATTTATCGTTCTTATCATGTTTACGGATTTTCTGGTGATAATTGAGTTTTTATTTCAAAGTTGAGATTGATATTATGGAACCAAATGTTGAAGTAAGGTTTGTACTTGTTATTCTATCTCCCTGTTGTTATTTATGCACTGCTTCGTCGACCTTAGCCTCGTCACTACTTCATCGAGGTTAGGCACGACACTTACCAGCACATGGGGTTGGTTGTACTGATACTGCACTCTGCACTTTCTGTGCAGATTTTGGTACTTGCTCGGGTTGATCGAGATTTTGTTATTGGTCCGCTGTCCAGAGACTTAAGGTAGATCTGTCGGCGTTTACACACCTTGAAGTCCCCGTCTATCTTTTCTGTTCTACTATTTCTTTCATTCAGACAGTTGAATTTCTTTCAGACTATTACTTGTAGTAAATTATAGAATGCTCGTGAATTGTGACTCCAGATACGGCTGGTAGTAATTAATACAGTTTTATAATATTCTGCACTTATTATATTTTATCTTAGTTAATTATTGTTATTTACTGAATGAAAATAAGAAATTGGTTTAATGATTCTCTAACATTGGCTTGCCTAGCAAGTGAAATGTTAGGCACCACCACGGTCCCGTTGGTGGGAATTCCGGATCGTGACAAGTTGGTATCAGGGCACTAGGTTGCCTAGGTCTCACAATTCACGAGTAAGCTTAGTAGAGTCTGGAGGATCGGTACGGAGACGTATGTGCTTATCTTCCATAGGCTATGAAGTTTAGGAGCAAGTTTCACTTCTATTCTTCTATGTCGTGCGATTTTTCTTTCTCAATACTGATTGAACTCTTCTACTCTTATTCTCTAGAAGATGGCGAGAACACGTACCGCTTCCTCAGCTAAGCAGCAACCAGAGCCTCTAGTGGCATCTCCTACGAGGGGCAGAGGTCGAGGCCGTGCTATAGGCCGAGGCAGGGGCAGGGGCAGGGGCAGGGCTCAACCCAGAGCTCGAGCAGCAGCCCCGGCAGTGGAGCCTCAGATAGATCTTGATGAGGAGGTTCCAACTCAGACTGTTCCTGCCGGACCAGCTCAGGTTCCGGAGGGGTTCATTGCCACCTAGTACTTTAGGACGCTTTGGTCCATTTGGTGGGCCTTATGGAGAGTGTGTCCCAGACTGGCGCATTTTCCATGGCACCAGGAGTCTCTCAGGCTGGAGGAGGAGCCCAGACTCCCACCACTCCCGCTCCGGAGCAGATAGCTCCCCAGTGTCAGGCTCCAGCAGCTCAGCCAGTCAGATTAGTTCAGCCGGTTATTCGGCACAGGTCGGAGATGGGCCAACTATGTCTTCTAAGACTTTATGGAGATTGGACAGGTTTACCAAGCTCTTTCCTGTTCACTTTAGTGGTGCTCCTTCAGAGGACCCCTAAGAGTATCTTGATAGTTGTCACGAGGTTCTATGAAACATGGGTATAGTGGAGACCAATGGGGTCGATTTTGCTGCATTTCAGATGACTGGTTCCGCCAAGAAGTGGTGGAGAGATTACTTGTTACTAGACCAGCTGGGTTGCCTGCTCTTACTTGGGAACAGTTCTCTCAGCTCTTCATAGAGAAGTTTTTGCCTATCACATTGAGAGAGGAGCGTCGCCATTAGTTTGAGTGTCTCCAGCAGAGCGGTATGACTGTTACTCAGTATGAGACCCGTTTTGTGGATTTGGCCCGTCATGCTATTCTTCTGCTTCCCACCGAGAGAGAGAAGGTGAGGAGGTTTATTGATGGACTTGCTCAGCCTATCAGATTGCAGATGGCTAAGGAGACTAGGAGTGAGATATCTTTTCAGGCAGCTGCTAATGTCGCCAGACGAGTCGAAATGGTTCTTACTTAGGGAGGTCAGGGGTCTGACAAGAGACCTCGTCATTTCGGTGAGTTTAGCGGTGCCTCATCTAGAGGCAGGAGTACTTTTGGTAGAGGCCATCCTCCCAGGCTGTTTCATTCAGCGCTCCAGGCATCCCACGGTGCCTCAGGTGGTCGTGGCCCTCAGATGCATTATTCCGACCAGCTAGCC